AGGTGGTTACCTTCTAGGGTGTATTAATTACTTTTCTGTTGCTGTGATAAAATACCATTAACAGGAAGCAGGGAGCTCACATCTTCAATAGCAAACAGGAAGCAGAGAGAGTAAACAGAAAGGTGGATGAGGAGGCTATGAACTCCCAAAGCCCACCCCAGTGACATACTTCCTCCATCAAGGCTCTGTCTTCTAAAGATGCGTGACCTCCTAAAACAGTCCCAGCAACCGGGAACCAAGTGTACAAATACATGGGCCTAACAGGGACATTTCTCATTCAAACCACTACACAGGGTCCAAGGAAAGCCCTTCCTCTCTCTGGTCTACTTTCATCCCTCAGCAAATCCAAGTCAGCTCCCTCACTACTCATTTTAGATGTGCCCTTCCTGCCCATTTGGATGCTGGTGAGAAGTTAGAGTTCCATGCAGCATCCTAGTTTAAGTCAACACTCCAGTGCTTAACCTCACTTAATACAGGCAGCTTAAAATGGCAACTATCATTTTGTTCTCAGAGATCCACTAATATCCATGCAAAAATATTTTATTTTATTTATTTATTTTATTTTATTTTATTTTTTTGGTCTTTTTGAGACAGGGTCTCCCTGTAACCCCAGCTGTCCTGGAACTCACTATGTAGACCAGGCTGGCCTTGAACTCACAGAGATCTGCCTGCCTCTGCCTCCCAAGTGCTGGGATTAAAGGCGTGCGCCACCACGCCTGGCCCGTCCTCAATATTTTAATAGGTCCATGTGCTCATATGGTATACTACCATACTACTTGGACAAGCCTATATGACATTTTTACCTTTAGAAATAAGTTGTCAGTCTGTGCCTCATGGGCCAAGCTGGACAGGTTGTGGTGTCCACGTGTATAATGAGGTGCAGAGTCATCCTGCCTCCACATTTGCACTCAGAATGGAGCCACATGCTGCTTGTAAATTGAGTCACCAGGGTTAAGCACAGCTTGAAAGTCACTGTAATATACAAAATGGAGTAATGTAGGGCAGAGCACAGCCTAATCTCAGCCCTGTCCTTGAGGGATGGGGTACCTTGGGAGCATTTTCCAATCCCAAGTATCCCTTAGCAAAGGGTCCCGTAGTCCCCCAACATCCCCACCAGGGAAGGCTGGATCATGCTGGGTGTCATCCAGGAATGATCAGCCACGATGCCAAGGTAAAAGTACTTTCCTGGTCAAAATTGACGTAGGTGTGTGTGTGTGTGTGTGTGTGTGTGTGTGTGTGTACACGTTGACATTCATTAGGCTTGGTATAAAGTTTTTATTTTGTTTTGTTTTTTGAGACAGGCTTTCCTTGTAGCCCAGCTTGCCTGGAACTTACTATGTAGACCTTGGTCTCACAGAAACCCACCTGCCTCTGCTTCCTGAGTGCTGGGATCAAAGGTGTGCACCACTCTGCCCAGTCCAGATTATGTTTGGTTTTTTTTTTTTTTTTTTTTTTTGGTCTTTTTGAGACAGGGTCTCCCTGTAGCCCCAGCTGGCCTGGAACTCACTATGTAGACCAGGCTGGCTTTGAACTCACAGAGATCCGCCTGCCTGCCTCCCAAGTGCTGCGATTAAAGGCGTGCACCACCACGCCCGGCCCAGATTATGTTTTTTAATTTGGTCTTTTTGTTTCTACATTTCTCCCTGACAGATCAGCAATGTCAAATCATTGACAACTGATGAAAATTTCCTTCCTCTGGAACTGTCTCAGAGATGAGGCGTTTGGAGAGGTCCTGGTTGGTATTGCTATAGGGTCATTGCATAGGGTTATAGGACCCTAGGGAATAGAAGGCTGGAGCTGAGTTTTTGTAGAGTGGTAGTTATTGAAGGTTGAAAGCCAGACTGTGACATCACTTGGAGATCAAGAGGTCCTTGGTGATGGGAGACAGAGATCAGGTGTTGGTATAGATGGTAATGGGTTGATATCCTTGAGACAATACCACCAGGAGCTTAATGACCTTTGATCTTAAGATACCACTTATACCAGAAGGGGCCAAAGAAACAAAGAATAAAAACAAGAAAGGAGTGATAAATAAGAGGAAAAGGAAAGATGGTTAAAAGGGACACTGTAGGGTGATTTCAGGAAGATAGGAAGTATGACAGCAGTTACTGTGAAGATGAGAAAGTGTGTGTCCATTTATAGGAGCCCAGCAATGTTGTGGTAAAGGGAAAACAAGATGAAGGCCATGATTTGAGGTAAGTGATGACCTCAGTCCATGAGTGTTCACTGGGATCTGGAGGTGTTTGAGGGTGAGTTCCCCTGGATCCTACCAGAAGACCAGAAGGATATCTGTAAGAGGCTCATGGGAATAGGCTATTTGAGCTTCTGGGGGTGGAGCAGTTTTAACTTTGGACAGATGAATCTGTGGTGACAGGCCTTGTAACTCAACTGTAGCTGAAGATGTGAGGAGGATTTGATAGGGTCAAGACAGCTTTGAGTGGCCTTTTATCTTGTGGGATGCTATGTGTCTGTGTTGTATGTATGAGAACATGTTTGGGTATGTACATGTGTGAGTGTGGATACAAGTAGACACCAGAATTCAATGTGTATCTTTTGCAATCATCTTATTTTTGGAGATAGGGTCTCTCACTGAAGTTGGAGCTCACAAATTAAACTAGGCTAGCTAGCCCCAGGAACCCTCCTGTCTCTGCCCCCTCAATGCTAGTATCACAGGTGTGTACCACACTTCACTTTTTTAATCATTTTAAAATTTTTTTAATAACTACATGATTATAAGAAGCATTTTACTACAGCTTTAACATATTCACTAACACACTCCAGAGCAAGAGTACATCTCTTTCACAAGTGGGTGCAAGTTTCTAGGTTCACAGTTGAATTAATACAGTTATACAATATTGAACTCAGTATAAGCCCTGTAAGACATAAAATTGAATGAG